ACTTGCCAATTTCCACAAGTTAGTCTGAATTGAATTGCCAAATTGCAGGGGAGGACTTGCCATTCCAACTCCATGCCACCGAATAGGTTCATTAACAGAAGCACTGATTTCCATAGTTTCATTTATATTATACCGTTTCCATCTTAACTCTGAGTGAGATATTTCCCTTGAGGGGAGCCATAAGGGCTCCAATCAATGATGTCTCCTTTGGAGATATTAATTAGCACTCAAGGTTTCTCACTCTTACAGTGTTGCCAGTGTACCCAGTCAGGTTCCTTGTTGATAACCCTCATCTTACAGACCAGCAGATTTATGGAACTAGTAGCATTAATCTCTTGTCCTTTAAAACCAGATGCATGAAGCATATAAAACTTACGATAATCTTGGGTAGTATTGACTATGGATAGCCATACTTGAGAGGTAATTTTTAGGCATTAAATTTCATTTCCCAAGTAAATAGGTATTCCTTGTACTCCAACAGTGTAATTGTCAATCACTTTACCCTCCTCCACTGGCTGAGCACCTCGATTGTCATAAGGGCCAGGTAACCAAGAAGATTCATTAACCATTACAGGAATATTCATATCTTCCCAACTTATTGCTATGTTAACTGGAGGACTGGGGATATAAGCCCAATAATTATGATCCATCCCTTTTACCTCCAACATTACCACAGAAAGCATGGTGTAGCATTCAGAGGCTTGTGAGTCATATAAACTCTTAGGCTGTCCCCAGGTGGGAGGATTAGTTGTTTGCAAAGGTCTCCTGTGTATTGACTTTGGCAGAGGCATCCCTGCATCTGCAGCATCTTGGAGATGTCTTTTGCTCCTGGCAAATTTTTATTAATTTCAATGGAATCCACAATTTATTATCTCCTGTGGAAACGTAAGCATAACCTCGGCCCTAACTTAACACTTTTCCTGAATTATTTGGTGTTAAAATATTTTATAATACATGGGCTGACTCAATTCAGCAATTCTTCCCATAACTCAATTTTGTTCCTGTTTCATTAGCATTTAAAAAATTTTAGCCAGGCAGTGGTGGCACACACCTTTAATCCCAGCATTCGGAATGCAGAGGCAGGTGGATCTCTAGGCCAACCTGGGCTACAGAGTGAGTTCCAGGAAAGGCGCAAAGCTACACAGAGAAACCCTGTCTCAAAAAACAAAAAACAAAACAAAACAAAAATTTTTTTAGTAGGGTACTATGCAGTCTATCTCTAGGGGTCCTCATATCCTCCCCCTTCTGTTTAACAAGCATCTCTTCATAAGGTCTAATCTATCCATAAGTATTTTGTAATTTTTGTTTCATCAGGGCTAATTCTTTTTTTGGCCTCAGCTGTTAACTATCTAGGACTGTTTAAATCTGAGTCATCTTGCAGAATTTGAAACAAATTAGTTAATTCTTGAGTAGACAATCTAATTGTAGGCTGCAACCAGTTAATATCATCCAATAATTTTTGAAAATCATTAAGAGAATACCGTCGGTCTTTTCTAATCTGTACCTTCTGTGGCTGAACTTTTAGTTTATTTAATGTATAGACTAAATAGTTAAGAGAATCTCCTCTTTGCATATTTTTTTAAGGAGAAATTTGTAATCCCCAATAGAGTAAATTTTTTTGTATTACATTTTTTTCTAAGGTATCTGTATCAGAGCAGCCAATAAAATATCATCCATATAATGATAAATAACAGCCTAAGGAAATTGTTTACGAGTCATTTCCAGTGGTTGATTTATAAAATATTGACAAAGTTGGGCTACCAACAGTGACCCCTACTTTAAATTTGGATAGCCAATTCCTGTCTTATCTTGTCTTTGTACAACCTGTATAGCCTGTGACCTATTCTTACAACTTCAGGAATATATCCTAATTTAAACATCAATTTACGAGCTGTTTCTGAAATTGTAGGAATATTAATTTGAGCTCACCATTGTTGTAATAAATTTCTCTCTCAAAAATTTATGGCTATATTAGCCATATGAGGCTTTAACATTTTCATCTGTTTTTTAAGGCGCTATACATTTAATTCATATTATATTTTGTTTTATTTTAGGAAAGGTTCCAATGCCTACAAATTGAGTGGAGACTTCTTGTAGAGGCCAGTTGGGATCCCAGGATTCTTGTGAAACTATAGATACATTTAGCACCAGAATCCAATAATTCTTTAATTTTTTTTCTTTTCTTTTTGTTTGTTTTTTTGAGACAGGTTTCTCTGTGTTGTTTTGGTGCCTGTCCTGGATCTCACTCTGTAGATCCGCTGGGCAATCCTTTAATCTCATTTAATTTTACTTTTAGTTGAGGCCATTCATCACTGATAATTGTTTGTCATGACATCTTTTTTTTCCCCCCAAAGCCTCTAGTTCCACATATAGGCATCATTTTGCCTTTAAGATATGGAAGCAATAATTAACTAAGCAATTTTATCATCAGCTTTTATTTCCATGGTCCTTTTACATATGCCATCTATAAAAGCATTAAATATATCTCTATAGGATTTGAAGAGGTAACTTAGGTAATACTTTGGAATATTTTTATAAAACCTAAAAAGAGGATCCTTTTTTATAGATCCCAAGTAACATGTTAATGCAACTCACCAATTATTAACAATGTGGATCAAACAATTTACCTGTATTTTATTTAGTGGAAAAATAATTAGTTACAAAAATAATTTGCAACCTCTTTATCAGTAAGAGATTACTTTTTATGGGTTTTTATCCTAGAAATCATATTATTTAAAAAGCTAACAACTCAATCTGTTTCAGGTGTTATATTTCTTTTTTTTTAATTTTAATATTCTTTTTATTTATTCTAAAATAAATCTTTCACATCATGCAACTTGATCCCATTCATTTCCCCGATTTCTTCACTTCCACCTTCTGCCCCTGCCCCACAATACCCCCACAAAAAAAACAAAATCTAAGAGAAAAACAACAACAAAAGAAAAAAACTAGCAATCTCATCAAAAGCTGCAGGGTGACCCAATGAGTCACGAAGCAAATCCCTTTGTCCATATATATTTACTTGCAAGTGTTCATTGCAAAGAGTCACTGGTCTGGTTCCATGCCTCTGGGTTTCTGTTTCACTATTGATGTTGGGCCCAGTCTGGGACCCCTCTTGGATATCCTGTTGTTTCCCTGTGTTGTGGAGATCCTGCAGCTTTGGGTCTAAAGGACTGGCCCTTCACATGCTCCAGAAGATCATAGATGGAGTGGATATTGGGACGGGCCTAGTCATAGCTCTGGTTCTCAGCCTAGGCAGCTTTAGGGTTAGTCAAACCTGCCAGTTCTCCTGTGTCCTCTACACAAGGCTGAACTCTCCAGCATCAGGTGTTACATTTCTATAGAATTTAACCAAGAATTTTAGAAAGCAATTTAAGAGCAGAGCCAAATTCTCAGTAATGATCAACAGACAAGTGTATACTCAATATATAGTTTAAAATTGTGAATCCTATTCCTTTAGTTTATCTACCATGAAAATCAGATATTTATTAGACAATCAAAGACAAGAACATCCTCTATACACTGAATGATTAATATCTCTGGAAATTTAAACAGCATCTACTTAGCATTCCATGTCCTGATCAAACCGTTCTTCACCAGAAGTTGGGCCCATTTAAACTTCCTCTTTCTTCCATGAAGGGACTATTAATAATGAGTTATTCCCATCATTAGGGAGAAATGGAAAACATTTCCCATGAAGGGATCTATTTTTTTTTTTTTTTTTTTCCGAGACAGGGTTTCTCTGAGTAGCTTTGTGCCTTTCAAACTCACTCTGTAGCCCAGGCTGGCCTTGAACTCACAGAGATCCGCCTAGCTCTGCCTCCCGAGTGCTGGGATTAAATGCGTACACCACCACTGATCGGCTGAAGGGATCTTTAATATTGAGTTATTTTCACTCGAGGGAATAATAAAAAAACATTCAAGCCAAGGTTAAACAAACAAACAACAAAATTCTAAGCTCTGGGTTTGCTCTTGTTCAGGCTGCAGTACTGAGGCCCACCTGTTGATTCTTAGTAATTCAGATGCTGCCACTCTGTGCTGGCAGGCAGAAAGATTTAAGCTAATTCAAGATTTAAGTCCAGAAAGTACAAAGAGACTCTGTTAAACCAGTACAAACCCACTGCCTTCAACCTCTGCACCTCCACATGTATATGCCTCCATAAGTGTACATCTGTGCATTCTTGCCCTTCTCATGCACACAGGAACATGCAAGCCACACATATACCACCCACAAACACAAAAGGAAACCCTTTATCAAACACAGTTTTCTTTTACAAACATGAATAGTGACTATGACCTTAAGACACAATTCTAATAATAATTCTGTGAATTCTAATCATAAAATCACAATATGCATTATTAACAGTTTATATAGTATCTGTGTGTGATGGTGTGTGTTGTGTACTATGATAATTCTGTGAAGACACCCAGGTCTTCACAGGATTCCTTAGGCTGTGTCCTGCATGAAACAGGAAAGGATTCTAAGACATTACCTTTTCCAGGCTGGAAACTGTTGTGCATCCCACAGGAAAGGGATAGCAGAGGAGAATAACAGCAGCACCCACGTGCCTCAGGCCTGCCAACTCCTATTGCCTTATTCTTTCCACAACACAGCATAGCAGAGCCAATAAAGACTATTCCTGGTGTGTCAGACACCACAGTTCTAACACCATCTCCTTGCTATCACAAGCCCATCCTTTGCCTGATATAAATATTTCCACTGTAAGGGACAATCACATTTCATTCTATTTTTATTTTTTTGAAACAGGGTATTATTTTTTGAAAGATGTAACTCTGGCTGTCCTGGAACTCACTGTGTAGACAAGGCTGGCCTTGAACTCAGAGATCTACCAGCCTCTTCCTCTAGAGACCTGGAATTAAAGGCATGCCTAGCTGATAACCATCCGTTCAAATCATTTCAAAGAAGTATTTCCATTCAACAGGCTTCTTGACATCCATCGTTACAGGGTATAAAACCAGCTTCCACGGAGGACGGTTACCTTTAACAAGCAGCTTGTCTCTCACAGAAACCCTCCGAGTAGAGTCCGATGTGGAGGCTGATGTCCGGGATCCCTTGAGACCGTCATCCCGCTTCAGCTTGCTTGCCAGTGTTAGCATTACTGCCGCCTTTCTTCTGGAAGACAGGCAAGAGTAGTAAGGAGCGTGTCTCCAGACAACAACTGGACAGGAGAAATACATAGGTGTTTTCCCTTCAGATTTTCTCTAAAATGTGTAGAAAAGTCCTACACATATTAACAAAACTGGATTCCTTCACAATGGGTCTGAATAAGCCACGTGATTTTTTGTAAATTTTGGGAGCCACAAGTTTCATACTCACCAGGCACAGAGTGGGTGCTAGTTCAATCACAATCTAGCCCAACCACCCCCAAGCTTCCCAACCAGCTCTCATGCGCTACCCACACTGGTTTCAAATGAAGTAACTGTCCCTGCAGCACTGGGATCCAGGTGCGGCCTGGGAACAGAAGTCTCTAGGGCAGAAGAGACATCTGATGCTTTGCTTTCCTTCTCCCTTCAAGGGAAGCGTACAGAGCCTTCAAAGGACTGTTGTATTTACTGATGTGCAACGTCAACACCAAGAGCAAATGATAATACCCAAACTGGACTGTCTCCACTGGCTGCTTCCAGCCCCTATGAGCTTCAGGTTTCCTGCTGCCAACTCCCTGGGAAGGACAGCAAAACCCAAAGGCAGCTGAGGTAATGCTCCCGACTGCCTGCAGAAAGGGTGAAAAACTGCCACCACTCCTTAACCCTTCAACTGTTTATTCTAAAAGCAGCATTAGAGCAACACAATTGTTGGGCAGAAGGTACGGGCCCTTTCCATGCACTCCTCTCCCCATTCCCATGATCAGCATTCCCTCCAAGAGGCTTTATTTGTTCTAACTGATGGACCTGCGTGAAGGCATTATCACCCAGAGCACAATTTACATTAGGGTGTCAGCAATTCCTAGCTCCAGAATCTGCCTTCTGTTTCTACTACACGCTTCCATCAATCAGACACTCCTCATACTTGACACTTCCAGAAAGGGACTTTAGCAAGAGTAAGTGAACAAACAGTTCAATATCTGCATAATTTCCTTTCTTGTTTTAAAATTACTTCCTTTCAATACTGGTTTGATAATTTTTTCAGTCAAAAAGGATCTACAATTTTCCAGATGAAAAGCTTTATCCAAGAGGTCAAACTTGAGGCTAAGACCCTGGAAACAAGGATATTCCTCTCTTCACTGGTATTTTAAAACATCTCAAACCCAGGTCTTTCGCCTAGTTTCTCATGCCATCTTTTATGTATCCTTAGTGATGTCAGATTTCATTTTGTAACACATATCACAAAAACAAGACGATGGATATGATCTTCCAAACTGTACATGGCCCTGCCATACTGAAGACTGGTCACACTGAGCACAGTGGCACATACTTGTAACATCAGTATTTGGGAGGCTAAGGCAGGGAGATTTGTCAGTTGGAGGTTAGCCTGGGCTACAAAGGGGATCATGCACCAACAAGCAAAATAAATAAAAATACCAAAACAAAACAAAAAGTGTATTTGTCTAAATGCACCAAACAATTCTTTTTGTTTGTTTGTTTGTTTGTTTTTGAGACAGGGTTTCTCTGTGTAGTTTTGGTGCCTGTCCTGGAGCTCGCTCTGTAGACCAGGATGGTCTTGAACTCACACAGATCCTCCTGGCTCTGCCTCCTGAGTGCTGGGATTAAAGGCATACGCCGCCGCCGCCACCACCACCCGGCCCCAACAATTCTTATATGGCATGTTAGGATGCATAAACTCATAGCATTGAAATCTGGGAAAAATTCCCAACATGCGCGCGCACACACACGCACACACACACACAGGCACATGCCCATGTGGACCCTGGAACAACAGGCCTGGAGGGTAAGTGTCCAAGACACTTGGCTACAAGAAGCACTCACCACAAAAACCTAGTTTCCTCTGGAAGGTGTGTTGTAAGCGTGGTCATGGTGTCAGGTTTACACTGATCAATCATGAAGTGATGGGGCACTTCAATCATACCTCAGTGCGGTTGGCAAACATCTGAAAGCCCACTAGCACCTGGCTCCTCAGTCCCACTCTACAACGCCTTCTCCTCAGGGGCGTCGACGTGAGGAGATGAGCCCACTATGGACACCACAGACCTTCAAGTTTTCACTTCAGGCACAGAGCTATGGTTCCACTGCTAAGTCACTCCCCCACGGGAGGCTTTAGCCCACAAGCTACCAAAACAGAACAGAGCAATGCTTTCCTGCCTTGGCCCCCACCTGGAATGATCTTTTCAGGAATTTCTCAAACAGGATCCTGGGGTAGCGTTTGCCACCCTGCCAAGTCCAAGCCCACCACTATGTGCTCAGACCTGGGGACAGCAAGGGTGCCTGACAATGCAGAGGTGGATAATAAGCCTATCTACCACTGGGGACTAGTGAGGAGTAAGGGGTGCTCCCCAGGAGGATCAGCAGATAGATAGTCACCTTTGGTGTCAGTGAAGCGAACAGTAAAAAGTGAAAAGGAAAAGCAGTGATTAATAGTTTAGTCCCCTAGTGGTCATAACAGAACTTTATGGGAAATGAAGCCAGGGCACACACTGCTCCACGCCCTGAGGAGCTGCACTGCTCAGGAACCTGGCAAGAGCCAGGCCTTCCCCACACACTGCTGTGGCGCTTAACATACCCCTCCCCTACACTGAGGCCTTCTCTGAGGCAGAGGATGGGTATGCTCTGCTCAGCAGGGCATAGACTCTAGCTTGTAATCCTCGGGAAGTTTGTAGACTTTAAACAAGACATGCTGTGCAAAGGCCATGCAGGGTAGAAAACACTGGTGTTGTCTCCAGAGAAAACACAACATGCACTTTCTAATATTCTACGGCACTAATTCTTCTATCATCTGTATCACTTTCACATGCCACAGGAGAAACAAAGCAGTCCCAATCTGGAAATGTTCCCATAATCAGAAAATTAAATCTACACCAAGGGAACAAAAATAATTACTTAAGCTATCCAAAGGCTAGCAGACTACCTGCAGCTGCCTCAGAATTCTCTTCCTCTCAACACGGCCCACCTCTGGAAAACCGGACTTTAACCCAAACTTCCCGTTTCTCGAAAATCACACCGTGACTAAGGCAGTATTTTGGGAACACATCAGCTATTCTGAACAGCATGCTCAGTCTCTTAAATTCCACAAGTTGTAATTGGCCCAGTTAGTTCCTCCTCTGGGTGGGACCGAATTTTAGGCCATCCACCAAAGAAGATCCCAGCTTGTTATTTGCCAGTCTCATCAGGTCCTGTTTACTCAGCATTCCTATGTGCCATGGTGAAATCAGGCCCGTGTCACCTGTGCAGGGCCAGGCAGCTCAAGGTGAGGCTAACTCCTCACAGATCGTTCCGATCCAAGCATTTACGTGAGAACTACAGGTCACTAGAGACACTTACTTAACCTCCCAAGCCGAAGGAAACAACAGATCAGGGCAGAAAAACGTCTACACCTCAGCACCGTACAGCATGACAGTGCCCAGGGGTCTCTCGCCCACCAGGTTTATTGACTGACCACCTCTGGAGCCCATCTTTGATTCCGGGGACCGAAAGTCAGGTAGTTCGGCCCAAGAGGGGCTCCTGAAGCTCCTCCATCACTGTTAGCTCTCTTAACTCCCACTGCCGGGCTCCCTGCCCCACCAGCTCGGAAGCCTCTTGCACCAGGCCACCAGCAGCCTCACTGGTCCACCCCGGGATCCCGCTCACTTCTGGAACCTGTGTCCAAATCTCACAACCAGGTCTAGGGATGCCCTCCTTCCCTTCACCATCTAGCCCTAGCAGGGACCTAGGGAGAGCAGATTTCTACCTAGAGGCCAAGCTCCCCTCCGCGAAGCCTTCTCGGTCACTCCAACCCACCGGCGGCGGCGCCGAGGGGTGGGTCCAAATGCCCACCCGAGACGGAGGCCACCGAGCCCGCCGGGGAGGAGGCCACACCCGAGATAACACGCCGCGGAACCGGGTCAGGGACCGAACCGGACCAGGCGGGACCGGCCTCCCCTCCTCCCCGCTGCCGCGGTGGCGGGCCGCGTCCGCCTCCCTCCGGGGGCAGCGGCCTCCTCGCCGCGGCCTCGGTCTCCCGGCGGGCCCGAGCTCGGCACCGTGACCTTGCCGGCGGTGGCACGGGGTCCGCCTCGGCCCGGCCCTCAGAGCCGCGGGGGCTCGCTGCCCGCCCAGCGCTTCCCGTCAGCCGCCGACCTCGCGGCCCCGGCCACGGCGCCCGGCGAGAGGAGCCGCGGCCGCATCTCAGCCCGCGCGACGGGCTCACCTGAGCACCGCGAGTCAGGCGAGGCGGGCCGGCATCCAACACCATGCCCGACCAGCGACGGCTGCAAGACGCGAAAGCCCTTACAGCCGCACCGGCTCCCGGCGGCGGGACCGGAAGTGGCGGGGCGGGGACTGCGCTGTGACCGCAGCGGGCGCTTTAAAAAAAAAAAAAAAAGAAAGAAAGAAAGAAATTCAAAGCTGCGAAGAACTTTATTGGCAACCTCACGCGCAGACAGCCTCGCGCGTGGGCCCGACGGGGCGGCCGTCGCTCATTGGCGGAGGGCACGACCTGGGGGCGGGCCAAGGGAAAGCCAAGGCCTTCTCTGATTGGTCACGGTGCCCGTGCCTGCGTCCTAGCGTCCCGCGCGCGGCCTTCCGGCTTGTTTCCATTCATTTGGCGGCTTGACGGCCTGGGAGTGCTGGTGCGGTACCTGCGGGTGGAGCTGCGTTCCTGTGCCTGGCACCGTGACCGACTGCAAATGACCCGACCTGCCTGCGGCCTGCACTGGGGCTTTGGTGTAGATTACAGATTACACCACGTGGTTACTGGGCGTAGAGGCACTCTTCGTGCCCCTTATTTTTTAATTTCTCTTATTTGTTACTTTAAAAATATGCTTCAGGCCGGGCATGGTGGCGCACACTTTAAATCCCCGCCCTCCAGAGAAAGAGGAAGGCTTTGTCTACATTGTGAGCTCCAGAACAGCCAGGGCTATGTAGAGAGAGCCAACCTCAGACAAACAAACATCTACTTCAGGCCTCTGGATGTAGGGCAATGGTAGGGATCTTGCTTAGCATATGTGAGGCCCTGGGGTTCCATGTGTAGCATCTTACTTGTATCCTGTGGGGTACGAATTCCCTTTCCCTGTCCTGGACTGGAGATAGCATACTTTGGGAGAGAGTTAGGCAAGACTCCTAGAGAGGATATTTGCTGCAGAAAAAGAGTGTCAAGTTTTTTATTTATTTTCTTTGTGGTGTTGGGGAATGGATCCCAGGAAATCTCACATGCAGAACACACTACCTCTGAGCTACATCCGTAGACCCTAAAATTTCTTTGTTTCTTTCTTTCTTTCTTTTTTTTTTTCTTCTAGACAGGGCTTCTCTGTGTAGCTTTACACCTTTCCTGGAACTCACTCTCTAGCCCAGGTTGGCCTCGAACTCACAGAGATCCGCCTGCCTCTGCCTCCTGAGTGCTGGGATTAAGAGTGTGCACCACCACTGCCAGGCCTAAAATTTCTTTCTAAATGAGGCATTTGGGTTGGGGAGATGGCCCAGTGAATAAAGCATTGTCAGCATGAGGACCTGAGTTTGGATCTCCAGAAATCAGGTACGGAGATGTGAGACGTAGGCAGAGGAATCCCCAGAAGATCAGGAGGAAGTAACCAGGCTTACACAGAGGGGAAGAGACCCTGTGCTAGGCTGGGTGGCAGATTTGAGTTTGAGGCTAGCCTAGTCTAGTGAGTTCCAAATCAGCCAAGCCTATCTAATGAGACCTTGTCTTGATACACACACACACTCGAACAAACAAAAACCTGAAAGGCAGAACAGCACCGGAAGTTATCCTCAGACCACCCCATATACAATGTAGCACATGTGTACCCACATTCATACTCACACACAAATATAAAAAAATAAAAGGCTTTTACCAGGGAGGTGGTGGCACATGCCTTTAATCCCTGCACTCAGGAGGCAGATATGTGAGTTTGAGGGCAGCTGATGTAGAGCGAGTTCCAGGACAGCCATGGCTACAAAGAAACCCTGTCTATGGATGGATGGATTGATGGATGGATGGATGGATACAAAGAAACCCTGTCTATGGATGGATGGATGGATGGATACAAAGAAACCCTGTCTGTAGATGTAACCAACCGTCTTATTAAATAAGAAACACAGAACCAATGCAAAGAAGAAAGCCAAGAGATCAGAGCTAAGAGCCTTGCCAGCCTGCTGCAGCTAGCCTCTTCAGCCAAGAGACCTCTCTGAAAGAGACCTACTTCCTGTCTGTCTTTATATAGACTTTCTGTTCTGCCTTCTCATTGGTTGTAAACCCAAACACATGACTGCTTCGTCACTGCCTGTATGTACAGCCCTCCAGGTCTTCTATGGTATTGAGATTAAAGGCGTATGTCTCCAATGCTGGCTGTATCCCTGAACACACAGAGATCTACCTAGCTCTGCCTACCAAGTGCTGGGATTAAAGGCATGCGCCACCACTGCCCAGCTTTTGCTATGGTTCTAATAGCTCTGACCCCTGGGCAACTTTATTAATTAACATACAATTAAAGCCACATTTCAGTACAAATAAAATACCACCATACCTGTCTATGGATGGATGGATAGATGGATACAAAGAAACCCTGTCTATGGATGGACGGATGGATGGATGGATACAAAGAAACCCTGTCTATGGATGGATGGATGGATGGATGGATGGATGGATGGATGGATGGATGGATAAAGGCTTCTGATCTGAGGAAGGCTGTGAAGAGAGAAGAGATGGTAGTCAAGTGAACTCTTCTCTACAAGTCACCTTATCTCAGGAGAACATCTGTTCTTTGCTCAACTAACTCCTGCCCCTTCTCCCTCTCCCCATCCTTGAGCCTTGCCCTTCCTCCTTCCTGGAACTCAGCTGTCATCTGTTTCCCTGACTGAACTCAGGTACATTTGGGGCCCACGCCAGGTGTTCAGACCCATTTGCTGGACACCTACTGCATGAGATTGTGCAAAGTCCTGGTCAGAGAAGGGCCTGAAACCAGGCTGCAGAGGCAGACACAACTGGGGTGGCTTGAACTGGTGTCTCACCAGTACACCTGAGTCTCAACACTGCAGGGAAGCCAGTCACTTCTAGCTCCATTTCCTGAGGCACCTCACGGGTTCACCTAAGACTTACCGAGAGCCTACTGTGTTGTTAGTTTATGTAGTACTCACAGCAACCCTAGTGAACAGTATTCTGTTAGCTCCAGCTTATGAGACCGGAATTACAGAGTTAAGTAGTTTGCACAGCATGGCAGAACAGGAATATGAATCCAGCTCATCTGCCTCTGGCATTCTGTCCAAGACAAGCTGCTAATGCCAATATCGAGGAAAGGGACAAAAGACTCTTTCTTGGAGACAGACTGAATCAGAGTGATGTTTTGAACATGCTGGGACTGAGAACGTCATCATGTACCTTAAAGGACAAAGGATACCTTTCATGAGGGCTGGAAGAGACATGATAGGTTACACTGAGGTTCATGCCCCTCTTAGGCTGCATATCAGACCAGGTTGTGGATGGAGCTGGCAAATTTCTGCATGACTGTTAGTCAGGGTTCTCTAGAGTAACAGAACTTCTAGAATAAACCTCTCTCTCTCTCTCTCTCTCTCTCTCTCTCTCTCTCTCTCTCTCATATATATATATATATATATATATATATATATATATATATATATATAATATGTATACGTATATATTATTAGAATGACTTAAAATTTACCAGGCTTGGTGGTACATGCCTTTAGACACGCAGATCTCTGTGAGTTCAAGGCCAGCCTGGTCTACAAAGTGAGTTCCAATCCAAGACACCCAGGGATACACAGAGAAACTCTGTCTCAAAAAAAAAAAAAATTACAGCTGTAGTCTAGCTAATCCAACAATGGTTGCCTATGAACAGAAAGTCCAAGAATCCAGTAGTTCGGTCCATTAGGTTGGATGTCTCAGTTGGTCTCCAGTATATACTGGAATCCCAAAGAAGTAGGGTTTAATGCCAGTTAAGGAATGGATTTGCTATCAAGGACAAGAACAAGCAGGCAAAGAAAGCTTCTTTCTACCATGTTCCTTATATAGGCTGCCAGCAGAACGTGTGGTCCAGGTTAAAATGGATTAGGTGGCAGTGAACACCTTTAATCCTAGCACTCCAGAAGCAGGCAGATCTCTGTGAGTTTGAGACCAGCCTGGTCAACTGAGTGAGTTCCAGGATAGTCAGGGCTACACAGAAAAACCTTGTCTGAAAACAATAACAAACAAGCAATAAATAAATAAAAAAAAAAGCCCCTGGCAGATGTGCCCAGTCTTTGTTGTTTTTTTTTTTTTTTATGAAAAAAATACATTTTCAATAAAAAAGAAGGCCAGCTCAACAAGAGGGAAATTATATCTGATACTGGAAACTTAGCTAAATCTCCAGGGCTAATGAATCCATGGACATTAAAGAAGAACCTAAAACCCCACTTTAGTAAAGCAACACACACCCACTACATTCTAAATATTTGTCTTTACACATGCAGATAAATGTAATCTTTATCCTTCGTCAAAGAAAGTTCCCTTTGCAACAACAGAGACCATTATAAAAAGGCACAATAAGTCAAAATGAAAAGATGCTGTGGATATCGCTCTGTATAAATAAAGTGCTGATTGGCCAGTAGCCAGGCAGGAAGTGTAGGCGAGACAAGGAGAGAGGAGAATTCTGGGAAGTGGAAGGCTGAGGCAGGGAGACACTGCCAGCCGCCAGAGGAGAAACATGATATAAGATACCAGTAAGCCACAAGCCACATGGCAAGGTATAGATTTATAGAAATGGGTTAATTTAAGATATAAAAACAGATAGCAAGAAGCCTGCCACTGCCATACAGTTTATAAGTAATATAAGTCTCTGTGTGTTTACTTGGGGACACCAGTGGGAGAGACTTGTCCTAACTGCTGGCAGGCTGGGACACAGGAAAACTTCAGCTACAAATGGTGCCCAATCAGTTGGCAAGAGTTTCCACCTAAAACCTGAGAAAAAAGTTTCTAAAACAGTGCTAAAAACAGCTTCCTAGTTGTCTCTCTCAAGT